ACCAACAATCATGCTATTAAAGTGCTGTCACTCAAGGATAACTCAGTGAAGCAGGTAGGTATTTGTCACAATGTTTTTATTTTTATTATTTTTATCCAGTAAGATTTTGGACCTGTATAGAATAAAGATATTAGCGTCCTTTCTCTATGAATATGAAATACATTTATGACTGACAGGAGAAATCTGTAATAGTTTTTTTGTGATTGTTCAGAATTGATAGCTCTTTGTAGATGCCCTGTGTAGCTACCCCTGTTCATAATATCCATGATGACGTGAGTGACTGAGTGAGTGAGTGAGTGACAGTTTGAAGTGCACAGTGAGTGTGTGTGTGTGTGTGAGTGTGTGTGTTCAGAATTGATAGCTCTTTGTAGATGCCCTGTATAGCTACCCCTGTGTTTCTGTTCTAATCCAAGTTTGATATTAATGTAAAGGCTGTACAAAATATTGATACATCCTTTGTTTCCAGTTACGAGTAAGACTGACAGACGAGGCAGACAGCTCAAGTCAAGATGTAATAGACCCAAAGTCTGCTCTGGAAGAAGTGGTAAAGATGGTCCTTGGAGGTCATGAGACTCAGGTTGTCCTCAGACTAGTGTTAGCTCTTCCTGAGGGAGCTGAACTTAACAAAGGTGCTCCTAATAAGTGGACCATAACAACGACTAGTAAGTGGACGTTTCTCTTTCCTTTTTGTCTTTTTGGGCGTTTGTAAAGCTGTTTGCTGTCTGTGTATAAATGGGTGTTGGATTATGCTTTCAGAAACTATTGTTGATTTATCCTTTTTTTAGTCTTACTTTTGGTTTGGTATTTTTAAGTGTGTTCATTTTACTCTTTTTTTTTTGGGGGGGGGGGTAACATTGTTAATGTGAATTATTAAGCTAATAAGAATTCTTGTCTTGCAGATCAGCAGATATCTTTACCATCATCTCAGGGCCAATTACAAGAAGTGACAGAAGTGCCTGTCAGTCTAAATCTGAATTCTGAAACTGTTCCCGAGTTGAGTCTCATTGTCTCTGCTACTGTGTACATTTGCCTCAGCAGTGGAGTTTGCACTCGTGCAACATCATCATGTGCAGTCAAGTTTGTAACTGTTGACCAAAATGAAGTTGGGATAGACGAGAAGAAAATAGAAGTTAATCTCCGTGTCAGCGATTGTTTGCCTAAACACCAGTGATTGTGACATGCAATAGGAATTAATAGAATTTGTTATAAATGTATGAATGAAAGTGGATAAATCAAGAATGCAAGATATATTTTTTTTACATGTTCGAAATCAAATATATATCTTGTGGAATAACTCATTCTCATTTATAAATTCCAAGAATACATAAGTAGGAAGTGTGTTGTATTTCTCTTTGATTCCATTATTTCAAATAAAGGCATGAAAGTTAAATGTTATATACAACATTTGTATCTGCAATCTGAACCAAGCTTTAATGATTGTGTGCCTTTGTATAGGCTGCAAATTAGGTTGAAAATGAGTTGTATTTAATAAAATTTTTACTAACTAAGGACTTGTTGCTATAAGAGAGATTTTATCTAAAATGGGCCAGATGTTATATTTTTAAAAGATTATAGATAACTGGTCATAAAATTTATTTGTAACTGTTGATGCTACAGTTCTTTTTTTGTTGATGAAAAGTTACATCTTTACGTTTAGGGAAAAAGTGTAGCACTTTAAGTTGACTGAAGTAAATTTTCAAATGCGGTATTAAAATATAAGTTTTTCAATTTGAATAGATAGCCAGAGACCTTCAGTATAAATTTACAATTGATATAGATATAACAATATGGAAGATACTGTCTTGTGCCTTGACAGATTTGTCACAAAAAGTGTGATTTAAGCTGTGAGAAGATCTGGAGAAGATAATCCATTGCCATTGGGAAAGTGTAATGTTTACTGTAGCATAATTTTGTGAAATGTATCTACACATAATGGCTCCACAAGTGCTCAGCCACCAAGGAGTCAATCAGTAGACCTCATGACCTCACCTGATTCTCCCTTGTTTTTTTTTCTTTCTTTCAGTTCTTTTCCCATTGATATTGATGTCGATGCTGCTATTATTATTGTTAACATTGTAATGATTAGAGTGATATTCATAATACTAATAGCATTATAAGATAAAATGATATATCACCAAAAAATCAAATGAATAAACAGTTGTGGAACCATCTATGTGTAAATGCAATTGACAAACTAAACTCCATTGGCAGCATTGTGTTAATTCCTAAAAGTGATTTTACTCTTTTTGTAACTGCATCCCCTACATTAAGATTATCTTTACCAAGAAATTGTGTTTTTGCAGTTATTAACCAAAAACTTGTATTGTTTTGATTTTATATCTTGTATACCTGGCACACAAGATTGTAGTGAGCTGTTAAGACAAGGTCTCAGTTATGTTTGTACTTACTTTTCTCAGCCAATGGGAATGGCTATATCCATCATTAGATATTTTGGGTTTGCACTATGTGTGTACGTGTGCTTGCGTGTGAGTGCATGTGTGCTTATGCTATTCACTGGAGTATTTTATATGCAGTCTTCTCTAATCAACAGTTAGGTGTGTATTTTTTTGATGTCCGAGATATTATATACATAGACTAAATATATATATGCAAGAGTGCATTGTGATGGATGAAGTCATACCTGGCACAAAGCCAAGATATCTCATGTTGGTTGTAGCAGTTCTCATCAGCTTGGGGTCAGTTATTTCTTCCAGTTATTTAGCTGCTGTTATTATAGTTTTTTTCTTATTTAGCAACCATTATTTTCACTGATATTTTACTTGTTTAACAATTGCTAACCAGTGCTTCCAGTGTGTGCGCTTCATTTTGTTACCAAGTTCTTTCATACAGTATAAGGTTGTCTGATTAAAGTCACTGTTAGATGTTTTCAGTTATAGTTGTCACAATTTTTCACTCAGTTTTTATACAAGCTTTTTAAAAAATAATTTACTTGTATTTTTACTTTGATATTAGTCTTTGGGATATTTTTGTTTGTCAGAATTATAGGCAAGACTATGATGATAACAACACTTGTACTGCACACACACTTACAGTATGGGTAAACCTCACACACACAATTTAGTACTCACTCACAGAATAGAAGAGAGCACTATCATACCCACCACACTATCACACCCTGGGAGTAATAAATTTTATTCCGCCCTGAACTAGCTTTAAAATTTGTTGAATCAGGTTCAAGACCACCAATGCACCTATGAAAAAGGATCCTTATCGTTTCTTCCCTTTCTGGACGCTATCTTGGTCCCACCAACCCATTCAACCCCTTCTGCTCTGATGGGCTTACTTCTATTCTGCTACAATTTCAGCTATCCTACACATATTCTAGATCATATCATATGTATCTTAAAAACCATATATATGTATTTATATATACTATTATATATATATACTATACTATAACATATATTATTCGTATTATATTGTATATATATTCATTATCTCCTCTATACCTATATATATTTTACATCATTATGCTATATACTATATCTCATATGTATATTATATGTACTATATATTATTCTATATATGATCTCTATATATACATATTATATACTATTCTATATAATATTATTATAACTATATATGTATACTATATGTCTACTATAAATATGTGTGCTTCTATATATATATATATGTAATCTATCTTATCTACCATTATTCATATCACTACTACATAATATACATATCAACATTATTCATATACATAAACAAACACACTATTACACATATCCTTATGTCCCTCTATATATACTCTTCATTCACTTGACCATACCTTTAACATCTACACATACCACCTACCCACCTACCTACCTACCTCTAACCACACCACATCCACTTCCACACAACACACACACCACTACCATCACCATCTTCCCATCTACCTACACCTACACACATCATCTCACCACACCACTCCACTACACCACACTAAAAAAAATAACTAAAATAAAACACAATATCCGTTCATACATTACTACTATAATATACATCTCCTCTTATCCACCTATCATCAATAATACTCTCTATATAGTTACCTCTTATTATCATATCTCGGTCTCTCTTCACATCGTCCTATATACTCCTTATACTTCTCCCTATACACCCTGCCCTTCCTATACACTCCTCTATACTTTTTCTCATATTCTATAATCTCCTATTATATTCTTCATCTTACACTGTCATCTCTTACTCGTCCTTTAACCATAATTCATATATACATACTATTACACTCTCATCACATACACTCATTACTACATTTAGCTTACTACATTTACTACCTATATACATATTACCTCTATACATTATATAATCACAATACTTTACTTTACTCCCTATAATTACACTACTACATCTATTCTCATAACTATTACATTATCACTCTTACTTACTTGCTCATAACACTTACCTCCAATCATATACATTATTATATATACATACATATATTATTCATAATATATACATATTACCTATATACACCACTTACTTACTCCTTCACTACTACTACTCTATCACTACTACCATCTACGTCTCATACCATGTGTAAATACTCACTATATCTATATAAATAATATTACTAATAAAACAATACTATATATATATAATATAGATATATATACACACACACAACACACACACACACACCACACAACACACACAACACCCACACACACAACACACACACCACACCACCACACACACACACACACACCACACAACCACACCACACCGCACACGCACCACGCACACGCTCACACGCCACACGCACACGCACACGGCACACGCACACGCACACCGCACAGCGCCACACGCACCACGCACACGCACACGCACACGCACACGCACACCGCACACGCCACACGCACACGCACACGCACACGCACAATATATACGATAATATATATATATATATATATATATATATCTATATATATATATTTATAAACATAATGTATATACCATATAGTATAATATATATATATTATATATATAGTTATATATATATACATACATATGTATATGCATTTATATATATATGTTAATATAATATATAATATAATATTATAATATAATTATATATAATAACATAATATATATGCACTCATACATATTGTATGTATATATATATATATATATATATATATATATATATATATATATTGTATATACATTATGTATAATATTATATATTATATATTATATATATATGGTGTTGGCGACTTGATGTGTGTGTCATGTGTGATGTGTGTGTGTGTGTGTTGGGTGTGTCTGTGTGTGTGTGTTGTGTGTGTGTGTGTGTATATTATATATATATATATATATATATATATATATATATATATTATATATATATATATATGTATATATAATATATATGTGTATAATATATATATATGTACTATATATATGTATATATATAATATTATATATATAAATATATATATAACTATATATATGATATATAATATATATATATAATATATATATATTTAAATATATATATATATATATAAAAATATATATATATATAAATATTTTTATATATTAATATAATATATATATTATATATATATTATACATATATATATTATATACATATATATTACATATTATGTATATATATACATATACATACACACACACACACACACACACACACACACAACACACACACACACACTCACACAACACACACACACACACACACACACACACACACACACACACACACCACACACACACCACACACACACACATATTATATATATACACACACAACACACACACACACACACACACACACACACACAACAACACACACACACAACACACCACACACCACACAACACACACACCACATATATATATATATATGATATATATATGTATGTATGTATGTATATATATATATATATATTATATATATATGTATATATTATATTTACTATATTGTAAATAAGCTCTCTCGTACCTGACCCTATATATCTATTATAGCTATATAAGCTATAGACTATACATATATCAATACAACCATACATACACCATATATATAAAATATACACACAGATCACATTCACTACTCTCTAACTATCACAATATTTACATAATAATTACTTATTTATACTCTTATATATATCTTCACTATAACTAGCATAATTGTGTGACTCTGTGCCCTCTCTCTACAACAAGAACAGTATACTACAAATTACCTATGCGTGTGTGTTCCTCTGTCGTAGCAAAACACAGATACATCATAAATTAGAGCAAAAACCTCCTTCTCTCACTCCTCTCTCCTTCTTGTCAGCTATCTCATCTCTCTCTCCTTGCTCCTCCGCTAACTGTGTCTGTGTAACTCTACTCTAAAACCTGATTAAATACCTAAACATAAACTCTCTAATGTGTTCATCTCCTAAACTGCTGATAACTCTCTCTAACTGTTATATGATAATAATACATGTACTTAATTTCAACCAATCTATACCCTGTTCAATCCCATGTGGTGTCTCTCTTCTCGTCTCTCTCTTCCTCACGTGTATGCACAAATTCTTCTCTTGTCAATCATCATAAACATCGCCGCCTCCGTCGAGCTCTAATCAACTAACGATTATAATATGTGTCGAACAAACCGATAAAAGCCGCCGTCGCATGGTGAGTCACCCCACTATCATTCCAGATCATAGCCAATTGTAAGCTTTCAAATTATTTTAAAAATAGCGTATATAAAAAGCTCTTTCCCATGTGGAAAATCTTGTCCCACACTGCACCAATTATCAACCGCAAAAATCTAACCACATTTATCCTGAACATAACACTTCTTTTCTACCGTCACTGTACACGGTACATCTCTCTTGTGATCGAAAATGATTCTTCTTCTCTAGACACCATGTACAAACCTTTCTCTTGACTAACTCTCTCCTCTTCTTCTGTCTTCTGGCTTCTCTTGGATATGGGTACATTCTGATAACTCGTCCTGTGCTGTTGCTGCGTGTCTGTTATGTTGAGTAGCCCATAGTAAATCTATTCCTCTCTCCCCATGGGGCTTCTCTTGAACATAATGGTTTGGCTAAGTAAACTTCTTCTCTCATCTCTCTCTTCTCTCTCTCTCTCTCTTGTCGTGTCGTCTGCTCTATTGCGCTTGTATGTCTGTGCTCTTCCTCTCTCTCTCTCTCTGTGTGTATGTGTGTGTGTATGGTTTACTGTGTTGCTGCTGTATGTCTGTTGCTGTTGCATGTTGTGCTGTTTATGTCGTTGGTCATGTTTCACACACATTCTTGGGGTCTGTCGGGTCTCTCTCTTCTGCCTTCTTCTCTCGCGAGTTCTTGCTCTTAATGTGCTCTGCATGTGTGTTGATGTCTGTTTTTTGCGTTGTTGTCTGTGTGGTGTGCTCTCTTCTCTCTCGGTCTCTCTCTCTCCTTCGTCTCTCCTCTCTCTCTCTGTGTCGTCTCACTCTCTCTCTCTCGTGTTGCTTCCCTTTTTGCGTGTGTGTGCTGTGGTGTGTGTGTGATGTGTGTGTCGATTTCTCTCTCTCTCTCTCTTTCTCTCTCTCCCTCTCTCTGAATTATTTTCAGTAAAAAGGAATTGTGTTTTAGATAGGTCAGGGTTGTGTATATTGTGAATATGTTAGAAATTTTCTCGATAGTTTCAATGTAGTATGTGTATGTGTGTGCACATGCCACCCTGTATATATACCATATGTAATGATGCCCTATCCTGGGTGAGATAATAAGGAAATGATGTGTTTGTTAATAATCCTCTTTTATTTAGTAAGGGTATATATTAATTTAGTAATGGACAGTTGATGACAGTATGGATATGAGTGAAATGTAAAATTAATGGACCCTATATCCACTCCACTCGTCTCTTCTTATTAGTATGCCTTATATACTTGGCCTTCTCTCTACTATTACTCTATCTACTCTTCTCTATCTCCTCTATACTATTCTACTAATGTGTGTGTCTGTGTGGTCTGGTGTGTCCTCGTGTGCTTACTTTCTGCTCGTGCATCTTCGTCTGGTGTCTGTGCTGTGTTTCTTCTCGTTCTGGTGTGCTCTCGCCGCTTCTCTCTCTCTCGCGTGTGTGCGTGTTGTTCTGTGCGTCTGTGTGCGTGCTGCGTGTGTTGTGCGCGCTGCTCCTCCGTCGTGTGCTGCGCCCGCTCGTCTCTCTCTCTCTTCTCTCTCCTCTCTCTCTCTCTCTCTCTCTCTCTCTCTTCTCTCGTCCTTCCTCTCTCTCTCTCTCTCTCTCTCTCTCTTTCTCTTCTCTCTCTTCTCTCGCGTCTGTTCCTCTCTTTCTCCATCCGTCCTCCTTATTCTCGTGTGTGCGCGTTTCGTCCTGCTGTCTTGCGTCCGTGTCCGTGCCTCCTCGCTGCTGCCGTGTTGTGTGCTCGCGTGCGCGTTTCTGTCTCGCTCTTGCGTCGCGCTCGTCTCCTCGCGTCTCTCTTCTCTGCGCTCTCTCGCTCTCTTCTCTCTCTCTCTGCTATCTCTCTCTCTCTTTCTCTCTCTCTCTCTCCTCCCTCTGCTCTCGCGTCTCTCCCTCTCGTCTCTCGTCGTCGTTCGGTCTCGTACGCGCTGCGAGGAGAGTATATATATATATAGGTAATATGGAGAGAGAGGATCGGCCCAGGAGGGAGGGATAGGGAAGGGAGGGAGGGTAGGGAGGGGGGAGGGATATAGGGTAGAAGATAGAGAGATGAGTAATGATGAATGGATATAAGAGAGAGAGAATGAATTGAAGAGAATAGAGAGATATAGTAATAGTATATTTATTATCATATGAAAAGAATGTAAAGCGAGGAGTGAGAGTAAAATAAGAATGAATTCAATTCAAAGAATTATCCTGTGATAGGGAAATGAGATAAAAGTCCTCTGGTAATGACAGTGATGACAGGATAGAAAATTAAATGAGAAAGATATTAATGTTTCAAAATATACACAAAGCATGAAATGGTAATACACCTCTTGCCTTCATAAAAACTACCCATGGGCCAATGTTTATGATTGTGTGTATTTATTACAACTTTCAATTTATCCACAGTCATTTCCTGAGGAAGCTATGTCTGTCTGTACAGATAATGAAGACTAATTTTTATACTCGTTTTATTCATAAAGTTTCAACTACAGATACTATTACTATTATCATTATCATTATTATATATATTTTTTCTTTCTTCCTTTATTAGAAATAGGCACAGAACTCGGAGGTCCATGGTGTTTCTTAAGTAATGCATCCACTGAACCTTTGATAACTTGCTGAATATTGCATTTTGTAATGAAGCTATTTCTAAGATAGTTTTCGTTCATGTATAAAGATACTGTAATTTACAGACTTTGCATATGCCCAGAAATTAATCAATCTATATTGGAAATTAATGGTAATCTATATTTGGAAATGCATGAAATTCTCACTGTTGCGTCAAATATTTAGTTTATTTCGTTTGATAATCGTAACAAATTTACAACCGAGTCTTCCTGCACATCTCTTAACTATCCCAGCGGCATTTGGCGAGTTTCTAGTCCAGAGATATGAATGATATGCCATACACAACAGAACCTGATCTATGAATAGTTCATGGGAATGCCAGAAGTCCAAATCCTTTATTATACACCACGTGGCCTTGGTGGATGTTCACGCTTCCCCTCTGCATATTTCAGGCATTGAACTCATTTTGTGATTTATTTTCTGTAGGCTTCTAGTCCGCCGAATCGTCTCAGGGAGGAGGAGGAGGGAAAGGGAATAAAGAGTGAGCGAGAAGAGACGAGAACGTTGCGAGTTGGATAATGTATTTCCTTCTTACTAACTATATATATTCCTTTCTGAGACATGTTACTAGCTAATGTTTAGCATGAAATTGATGCCTACTCAACATACTAATTCATCAAAATATATGGTTTGTTTGATGTACAGAAATAAGTTTCAAACACAAATATACTTTGTATGTTACAGAGAGCGACAAACCCCGTGATGTTTTCTTATCGATTTACATTTCTTCGAGGATAGGCTGAATCAACCCTGTTTATTATCTCCAAATATTTATGAAGTGAAAGACCACGTATATTATCATTAACTAATTATTCAAGGTAGCACTAGTTAATTAACACCCACATGAAGTAATATCTATATACTAGTCAATGTCTAATCGATATTCGCATATATAACACAAATTCGTCTTTAGCAATGCGAATGCGATTCTGAATACAAATATATATATATGGACACTCTATTCTTAATATACAATGCGTATCTGTTATGAATGGCATATCTTGGATAAAGCGTATTAACAGCTATCAAAAATTCCTCTACCACAGTTCAGTTTATACTTGGAACGTATAATCCCAATTTGACAGACTGAGTACCAAGCATCAGTGTTTAAGCGACCGGGGAATCGTAAACAAGTCGACTAACAGCTGGAAGAAGCAGATTGATTCTTTAGTGTTATTGAGCCTCTAGAATGGGAAATGCGGATACCAAACTACATTTCCGAAAGGCTGTTGTGCAGCTTACAACGAAAACCCAGGTGGGAGCGCGAGATATACGAGGAAAAGTGGGAAATAAAGTAACACGATATATTCTGCGACTTTGTTGTCGTCGTGTATGCTTGGCTAATTATTGACACGACTTGAAATTATATCTCATTTTCGTATTAAATGAAAGACTGAGATTGATACTGATTGAGACATGTTACTGTTGATTAAAGAGCACTTGTATGAACATTATTTATGTTATGTTTTAATTATTGATGGTGTCCATAGATCTAACATATTAAATACTTATTATTAGGTTATTAAAATGAATTATATGTTAACACATCTGTTTTGACATACCTTTACATAGCTTTGTGATTACTATACATAGAGTTTATATCTGTGATATTGGTGTTTTTGTATTTTTATATTAAGTCCAAGTTCTCTGTTTTGATTTCAGTTGAAAGGTATTCCATTAGGTAGTTGCACATCAAGAACTTATATTTGATTATTTTTAAAGTAGTTAGATACTAAAAGTGTCTTTAAGGACAAAAAACAAACAATAAGAGATTTAGTTATATATATAGGGATTCATTGTAATGGACTGGCATTTGTAAACCTCAGATCTAAAGGTTGAATACCTGTATAGTTTAAAGGTCACTGACAGGATTGTGTCTGTTTCCTTTGATTTGATTTAATGTGTAAAAATAAATATTAAATACAGTTGATATGTTTCTCCTTTGAATAAAAAGGTGTTAGATGTTAGGGGGAAGTAGCATGCACAATTAGATGGTTAGATGGAAAATATTGTTATTTTATAGTTGACTTATCCAATGAACATGTAGAAGAGTACAGAGATAAAGTAATTTTCCGTCTGTGGGAGAGTTCCAAACTTTGTAGTATTCTCAGGGAGATTATTTGAATGTATAGCATAAAATGTCAAGGTAGTCCAAGTTTCACAAAAGTGTTTCATGTTATTGAAACTGATATTATTAATTATATTTGTATGATTTATGTGTTAAGATATAGTGATATCTTATGAGTAATGACCATAATCTGTTATATAAAATCTTGTATATAGATGTATTATGAAATTTTTAAATCTTTTAGAGAATGCCTGCCAAGACTTTTTGATATCTTATGAGTAATGACCATAATCAATTATATAAAATCTTGTTTATAGATATATTATGAAATGTTTGAATCTTTTAGAGAATGCCTGCAAAGACTTTTTGATAGCTACTAGCATGTTAACTGTATTTTTGAATCCATAGTACTCTTTATTATTTTGAGCTATTTTAGTATATGCTGGGAATTCACAATTTTTGGTAGACCATTTTATTCTTAGATAAGAATCTGAAATAGTGATGCATTAACACTTTAGGACAAATCTTACACTTTTGCCAAGATTTCTCTTGTAAAAATTAATGTAAAAGGAAAAAAAATAGAAGAAATAGATGAAAAATTAATCCTTATTCTACAGATTTAAGAGATGTTTAAAATATTAGGCCAAATTGTTACTGACAATAATGAATGAACTTGACTCTGTAGCTTTTGATTATTTGAGGTTAGTGATTTAGTGATTTAGGTAAATGTTTAACACAGGACTGCACCCGTTAGAGACTAAGTCCCCTGACTCCAGCCAACAATCCTGGGGAATCCCATTGGGAACTTATTAGGGCAGATTAAATATGGATGACATTGCAAAATAATGGTAATAAAAAAGTAATATTAAATAGAAAAATGAAAAATGCAAGCCAAGAATCATAATTCAAATGATAAAGAAATTGGGAAGATGAAAAACCTGAGCCAAGAATTATAATTCAAATGATATAGAAAGTAGAAAAATGAAAAACCCGAGCCAAGAATCAATATTTAAAAACTAAAGAAAGTGAAATTCTAAAAACCCGAGCCACAGAAGATAGCTATGTGACATTTTGATATATTTCAGCCAATTGATGCAACAGACGACTCATTTTGGGAGCAGTTCTGGGGGGAGCATGTGACTTCAGTGCAGGATGTTTT